AAAATCTCAAAGAATCAAATGGAGAGTATCCGCAAGTGGGAGTGCCATGTTGCAACACATTTCTTTACATTGACAAAACTTTTGACAAAACCATCCTTTATTGTCTTCTAGAACAGCAAACGGTACCAAAAGGCGATTATCAACTGCAAAACCGTGCCCAAGTGCGGGCGGGCTGTTTGTTTTATAGCAACTATCCACCTTTCAGAAAAACATGCATTGTCCATTTCATAGCCAAAAGGAGCTGTTTCTTGGCAGTTTTCACCTAAATGAAACACCTGCTTTTTCCTGGTGGATAGATTTCCAGTTGAAAGCGCTGCCATTTGCCGGCTTATAAGCCTCACTTGAAAGTATCAGCTATTTTATAGCTACAGTAGACTGTTTGTGGACCCTTTTAAAATGACAAGGCCGGGATGTCATTTTATAACGACCGCCCTTTTTTCTATCCACGTAAAGTTGAGATGCGTTCTTTCTTGAAATGACCACATCTTCGACCCCAGGGTCGCCATTGGAAAGGAAATCAGAAGGATAACTAGATATTCTTGGAACATGTGGCTTATTTTCGCCCCGAGCGAGACGCAAGACTTCTCAGGTAGGTGATGGGTGAGGCCCTGCGCAAGACACGGAGCTGCACAGTCCAGCACGAGACACAGCACTGGGAGAGCGGGTGCTGGGATGAGATCCTGACATCTGCGACCCACAAAGAGGAGTTTAGGGAAGAGAGAGAGAGAGAGGAGGCACCTGACCTGGGGACATGGGGACAAGATGAATCCGTCACCTGTTTCTAAAAATGTGCGGGGCAAGTCACGTAGCAAAAATTCGGGATGGCACTGCATCTTTCTATCAGAAGCTTAAGGAAAATCACCAACCAAAAGTCCAGACGTCACCAAGCACAAATTGGCAATTTGTAGTCTGGAACCAAGCTTTTGAGAACCACCAAAAAATAAGATGAGATGGGTTCAATCACAAGGATCAAATGTTGCCTTTCACAGGGGAGATGTGATTCTGGACCCAAGTTCGAATCAAGAAAACGATTTTGGGGTTCACCAAGCTTGGCATAGTGGGGCATGTCCTGCACCCATTGTAGCACTCACTTCTCTAGGAAATGTAGTAGCAAAAAGATGCATAAAGTATTTTGCTACACACGGCAGTTTTGCTCCCGAGCGGCTCGTACTTTTGCTTGTGGATGATGATGTGACCTGGGCATTGAGCAATTGTGCCCCCCACCTGCCGTACCTAAACAGGCAGGTATGAGAAAAAAGAATCTGCTTTGAAACCACCATGACTCCCAGCTGATTACATCCTCGATTTGATGTCACTTTGAGAGACCAAGTAATCTGAAGATGTAAATATTGCCAAAAGTTGCTACCTGCAAGTTGGCATTGAAAGTTGCTAGCAAATGTTCAAATGACATAGGTCGTTGGTCTGGTCTTAAGAACAGACTGTGTGTGTCCTGTGGCCGGCCGCTCCGCGATGGAAGTGCTCATTGACATCTGTGCTTGCTTGGTTGACTGACCGAACGAATGAATGATTGAACAAATGAACTTTTGTCAAAAGCCTGGATGTCGAATTTAACCCTGAACAACGGGAACATCAAGTTAGCTTATTTTGCGCTTTTGTTGGCTTGCCAACTAGCGATATCTAAAATCGTTATTTACGGTGATACTAGAGTTTTCACTGACGGTCCGGGCATCGGCATGGGTACTGTGATCTACAATGAACACATCGGGAACCCCACAGAAGCCACAACTGAAGGACCTTGGGATTCCTGGGAAGAACATGGAACAAAAATATCTTTCAACCAAGTTTGCGCCATCTTGATCATCCCTGTCGGAGTTTCCGGCACCCCACCCAGCGGCATGAAAGCATACCAGTAGCAATATGCTTCAGCTAAGATACAGTCATGGTAGTTGATGTGGTTGTCGTACCTTGCAGCACTTTGAGCCACTGGTCTTCTTGGCGTTTTGGAATCGTCAGGTACTGAAGAATTATCTCAGAACGTCTCAGGACATACAGTAGAACTTAGAATCACAACAAAAATACTGACAAGAGTCGCTAAGCTCAAACAATGTGTTCCTTGCACTTCCTTTTTCCTGTGTTCTCTTCTTGGATGGTTCACGGTCTAAGTTACAGCGATTCCCAGTCACTTGGGCGTATGTTTCGTCAGAATCTCGTGGAAACAGAATTGTGTTTGAAAGAGTCATTCAGTAAAATTGGTGATAAATCATTATCATATATTATATTATTGTGTATATATATACGTATATACATGCCTTCCTGATATCCGGATTATTGATGGTTTATCCCAGTTGAAATTTTGGGGTAGCTGCAGCCCACCATTTTCTAGTGGCACATCCCCTGAATCTAAAAAACAGTGTGTTTCGGGTAGGGTCAACAGTCTTCAAGTGCAACAGGTTACATCCCGGAAATTGTTCAAACGTTTGAACACCCTCCGAGAGGGAGGGGTCACACTCACCAAAACATCACCTCTACAAAACACTCTTTGAAAACCCTCTGCTGGATTCTTTAAAAATACACATTTTTATGAAATCGTTTGGAGACTTTGCTAACTCAGGGTCCCTCTACATTCTAGGTACGCGCATCCCTCGTTTTCGAACCCAAAAATCTATGGTTGTTCATAAGAGCCTGAAGTCCAGGCATCTTTTTCGGTAAAATTTCATAGCGGGATTGTGGTAATTCATGTGTGCAAGTATGTGCAAGTTTTGTCCTTCACATCCTGAATCCATGCAGGTTTGTCTGAAACATGGGACGTACCCTCCAAAATCGACTGATTTATCATCATGTTCCTAGTTATCAAAATTGCCAAATACTCTATGGTAAAATCCACCAGTTTCCTACAAACCCATACGAATCCAGTGATTCTTTGTTCCTTGAAACCACCCACGATGGCTGATCGCCCCAAGCCCGAACGGCCCACGTTCAAAGATTGGAATCGTCGTGGCCAAGTTCTCCTACCATCTCAGCGTTTGCTCCGCGGTAGACGGACCACTTATTGCCAATACATTTGGATACATTTAAGGTAACTTTAACCGAACAAATATCTAATATATAATGATGATTGACAAATTGAAACCATAGGTTCCCATAGATCTTCAATATTCTTCAATTATACAAATAACAAAGTGCTACAAATTACTGGAACTCAGCCGGCCCCAACTCCTGCCATGTCGAGATCGCTAAAGCCGTGGCAGCCTCACATGTAACCGCCTTTTGGGTGGGTTTCACTTTTTTCAAAAAAGTTTTTAGGTGTTTTTCCATGTTTTCCCATCCAAATGGGGCTTTCCTTTAAAAGTTCCAAGATGTTCCAACCAATGGACCCCAATGGATCCCTTTTGGGTGGGTTTCACGATGAGCGTGAGTGGAACATCATGGAACTCAGAAGACTTACGCCCCACGTTTTTTCCAATGGACCAAGCCAATATCAATTTATGGGAATGTCGGCAAGTTGACTGGTTATATCTGGTTATATGTTGATCAACCCCAAAAATATGAAGCTTGGATCATCATCCCGGAAACTGGTGAAGCTGCTAGGGCCTCATGTCTGTGGCACCAGATCAGGAAAACGGATACAGTATTTTTGTGCTTGGTTTTATGTTCAACAAATACTTCTCAAGAGCAAACATAGCATGAAGGAATTATTTATGTATAGTTATATATATATATACAGTACATAGTGTGTATAATATATAATAGATATATATTATTATATTGGGGGGTCCTAGAATGGGGTTACCCCAAATGGACGGTTTATAATGAACACAATGAACAATCCTAATAAAATCGATGATTTGGGGGTACCCCATGACTTAGGAAATTTTGATATGTATATATATACAGTATATGCAGTGGACATATTTCAACTTCAATCTCTCATAGGACGGATTACCACCTCAATAGTTGCCTTTTGGGTATCTATGGTTGGTGGATGTTGCTGGTGTCAAATGGTATCAACCCCCATGAAGAATATGCTCGTCATTGGGCAGCATCATCTCATTTCTGTGGTTAAACATAGACCATCTTGTTGAAACCGCCAAGCAAGATGGATAGACTTCCGTCAATTGCAATTTTCCACTTGGGTCCTTAAGAAAACTCACCGAATAGCAGATTATAGCAGATTACTTTCCCAGCTATAAACCTCCACTTATACAAAGGGCATTTTCCAGCCAGCCACGCCCGATCACCGGAAGGCAGTTACCACGAACAGAGCACTGACAGTTCCCAGCTTTTGGGACCCAAACCCATTGGATGGGCCCTTGTCAATTTACCCGCCAGTGATGGCTAAAGCCCCATCAAAAGTATCAAAATATCTCGCGCCTCACCAGTTTTGTTGCCTGAATCCCATGTATAGTTATTTCATTTTTTTTAGGTAGATTAAACATACATTCATTGCTAGATATTGCAAGCTGCAAATTACATTCATCAGTGATGCATGTGCCCATCAAAATTTGGCCACCATCATACACGGCAGCAGTTTGGTGACAAGGCGCCCGTGGTACCATCTCAAATGTCAGGATGAGAAGGTACCAGTCACTGGCACAACACTCCGCAGCGCCCTGAGCTGAGCTGCTTGGTTTCAACATGTTTCAACAGTTTCGAAACGAGGTTGTGGAAGCTATGGAACAGCTGGAATCCCCTCAAGACTTTGATGTCTTGCGACTTGACAGCTGAAGGAAAAAACCCGGAACGTCGTCCCTTTGTACTGGTTGGTTAAGAACGGATTTCCCAGCTCATGGATTCTGACAATCCCCAAGATAGTGGATACCACAACCCCATATAATATATATATATATATTTATATATATATATACACATATCATATATATATAATATACTGTAATACTCAACCAACAGGCGTCAATGAGCAGTGCCTCAGATGTCTTTGGAAGTCAACTTGAAGGTTTTGTTTTGGTCTTGATCGCCCCTCCAAACACTGGAGCTAAACAGATCCAGATCTCACGGACGATCTCCCCAAGATGAGCAAGTCACCATCCCAGATGCTGCAGACAAGTTTCAGAGCGAAAGAAACCACTCCTCACAGCCACGTCACCAAGGAAAGCCAGCTCAGATCCACACTCGTCCTCAGGTCTTTTCTGTTTTCAAGGATTCTTAAAGAACTATCAGAGTCATGACATATCATGAAAAAATGTGACGATTGCAAAATGTTGCATGACGTTGTATATCATCTTTGTTGGCACTAGTGATGCAATACGAATATGGCATTAGGTATGAGGTATAATGAGGGAATGAAAAGTCTGCAAGGCAAGCGCTACCTGTGTGCATGTAGGTGTGTGTCTCCCATGAAACTACGTAGAGATATATGTTCACATTCGTTGTTGTTCATTCATGAACGTGCAGAATATCCAACAACCAATGTGTGCTTGTGCTTCGTCCCAACATCACAGGCACGAATTCATGGCCAAGCCATGGCCAAGTTGCGATCACAGAGACCCTGTAGCCTCCCAGCAGCAGTTCCTCTGCTTCAGAGCTGCCAAAGGGAGCCCAACGAATCTCACCAGACATATTATAGATCTCCAAGTCCTGGCCAAGATGGGCATAATCCATGAAAACAACCGTCGAACCTACTAATTATAGTAGTTGTGTTGGTTTAAGTACCATGTTTGTCTGGTGAATCCCCATTCTTGCTAGTTAAATCCCAATCATTTTGATGATCCAATCACCATGATTGCTGGTTAAATCCCTATTGATTTGCCTGTGACATCGTTCCACTTTTTCGTTAGGTCCCCACTGTCTAGCAGGCTACACAAATCCTGATTCTTGTTGGTTGCACCCCCCTTGCTGGTCAGATAAAGGTTAAAACATGTGAAAACCCAATTTTGCGTTGGTTGCAATTGCCCAAAACGGATCCTTAACCATCCCAAACCCATATTATTCTATGTTTTCTTGCTTAAGAGCCAAGTTCTTGTTGGTTGTAACATGTTGGAACTACCCCTGACCCCCCCATGGGCAGCCTCCTCCACAATCACCGTGGCACAGCGATCGCAGGACGTGTCGCCGCTCTGTGCCGCGCTGGCCACGCAGAAGGCCGAGCTCGTCTCGGCATCGCAGGGGACATCGGCGGAGTCCACCTTCGTCAGACCTTGGCGGGGATGCTGTGAGGTCGAGGCGGTCGAGGTGCCCAAAAGGGTCACAACTTTTGAGGCTAAGATAGGCTACAAAAATGATTTGGAATGGTGTTTGTAAATAACTTTCAGTTGGGAAATCTGTATTGTGGAGATTTTTGGAGCGTCGTTCCTGCTATTTTGGAAGCTCAATGAAACCATATGAAAACAAGATTCCAACTCAATCTGGTGGCAGGTCAACTCCCTGAAAGTATGTGTGTATATATATATATAATATATACTCACTTATATAATCTTATATACTGTATATACGTGTATATACTGTATATATACGTACTGTCAGTAGGGCATGTCCTAATGGCGAATCGATTTTGGGATCTTTGAAGGAGACATTGCCACACTTTTGTACTCCATTCCCGTCATGTTTGGAATCTCCAACCAGGTCACTTTCTGCATCAGGGTTCCGGTTTTTCCTCTCCAAGCATATGGAGGCTTCATAAGTCATCGGGGTACCCCCAGTTGTTATCCATGTTATTTTTTGATTTTCCAGTATAAACCATCCAGCTATTTATTGGGGTAACCCCATTTTAGGAAACCTCCAGATTTGTTCTTAATAAGTAATTAAACGAATAAAATAAGAACTGATATACATAAGCCGAAAAAGTGATGTTAAGGGCTCTCAAAATGAACATGCATCAAAGCTGCCTCTACTATACGACTATCCAATAGTTACTACCAACCACCAACAACAGTTTGCCCGTACTATTCCCATGCTATATAGCAGGAAAAACAATGTGTGAACAAATGAATCCTTGTTCTGGATGTAGTTATCAATTGCGATACCTGTTATGCTAGTATTGCCGGACACTGATGATGCATGGCAAGCGCAGCTCGGACCCTTTTCCTCGCACACGGACTTGAGCCAGTACGGCGTCCAGATATACAGTTAAGTATGTATATCCCAAGTGTCCTAGTGTTCAGTTCCCTTTGACACCCCCCATGCCCGTGGTATTCTTCGAACCACGGACACGAGAGAGGGAACTTTGAATTAGATTGGTTCTGCTACTCGAATTACGCCTATGTACATAAAACATGCCATTCTGCTCCCCCTTCCCCACATACCCGAAGGGAATAATGGTTCAGGGTTCGCCTACTCTATGGCAGTCGATGCATTGGCGCTTCATCAAGCTGTACAACGCGAATTATTGCTAGCTAACATCTACTTTTCTACGTTGTCTAAGCTTGCCACTCACCCGTCGGGAGAAATGGGTCACTTCGCTACCAAAGATTTACGATGCTAACTAACGAATTCACGTGCACATTGCAGAATTTCGTGCAGATTGGGAATATCAAAAGTCTTGAACCTAAGCGAATTAGTCTACTGCCTCGCTCAGAGTCCACTCAGTTGGTCTTTTCCTGATCATCTGTTTACAAAGACGATACACATCTTGTAGTCCAGTGACCATTTTGACGGACAGAGGTAATAAGTTCACTGCTCACGGCGGACTTTCTTCCATTGAGGTGCTGTTGGAGTTCTCTCCCATCCTGCCGCACGTTTCGGAGCAGCTTTCGGCGATGAAGGCTTTGCAGGCGGTGCCTTTGATGGTTCATGGGATTTTGGCATAGCCTTGCCCTTTGGTGCACTAGCCGATGAGGATGATGCTGAACCAGTGCCTTCAGGTGTCTGTGAAGGTTGCGCAGGTGGTTTAGCAAACTTGGAAGCTGCAGTATGTCCAACCGCTTTGAATACTTCACTCACCACTTCGTCGCCAAGGGTTGGAGCCATCTTCGTTTTCATCTCGGTCTTTCCCCTCTGCGCCTCGGCCTCGGCCAGCTGAATAGCATAAGCCATCTTGCTGACAAAGTTTTGAGGTAAAGGAATGCCACATTGTTGGGCGGCAAAGAGCAGTTCTACTCTCTGTTCTTTCTCCCTCAGGCTCAGATATACCGAGAATGCTGGGAGTTCGATGCAGTTGGGGAAGCCGTGGCTCCCGGAGCGAAAGAAGGTGTATGACTCGTGCTCCGGAAAGGTTCCTTTGAGCAGTCGTCGAAGGAAGTTGCTGATGGTTACTCGCATCTCCTGTTTCCCTTGGGCATCAGCCTGCATTCGGTTCATTGGCATGAGGAAACCCAATGATTCGGGAGTGTACCCGGCGCAGACCAGAAATTCCATCATCTTTTCATAGATCTCTAAATTCTTGATGACAGGCATCATCATGTTTCTTGGTCGTCCTGAGTACATCTTCTCTCCCTCTGACCAGGAGTTCCTTTTCCCTTTCTCCTGAAAGAGTTCATCCAATTCCAGCTCTGTCGGCCGCTTGAGGTTGCCGTCCGGGTCTTCGCCTGTGTAGGGGCAGAAGTCGTCCAGGTCCAGCCGGACTCGCCTGGTTTCCGTCATCATCACATGGTACTCCTCTGGGGTCATAGTGACTCTCTGGTTATAGTAGTGCCTGAACATTGTGATGACCTTTGACATGACAGCGAAAGTCATACAAGTGAGCCGCGGCCTCAGAGACATCATTGTTGATAAGACCGTCTTCTGGCATACCCTTGCTGCCGCTCTCAAGATTCTTGGTCCATGCTGGAAGTTTGGTAGAGGGCTCATCATCAGGTTCGACGTCCATTTCATCATCATCTTCTTCAATGATTTCGTCTTCTTCCTGTTGAGCTTCCTCCTCCTGATCCATTTCCTCATCGTCGCCTTCATTGTAGTCGACTTCGTCAGGATTGAAGCCATAGTCATTGGATTCGGATACGTTTTCTTGTGCTTGATTGACCGTATCCTTGAACAATGACTCTTCTTGTCGACGAACTTCTTCATCGAGCTCTTTCTTTGTAGCCTCATCTTCATCGTCTTCAGGAGCTTGTAGCCGATATGGACGAATCCCGCAACTTTCAAGTTCTGTCCAGCAAACTAGACACACTGCTAGCTTTGTCGGCGTCTCATTGATACAGTGAGGGCAATGGCGGCAACCTGAAGTTTGCACCCTTTTGCGTTCGACTATGTAGTCAATCAGCTTGATGCGGGCCAGGTATTGTTCTTGTCCGCCAGGCTCGATGAGGTTGTTCTTGAATTGGTTGACGATGTTCATGGCATCCATGGCAATCTCGTCAAACGGTTGGTCTTCGGCGTCGATGCACTGACTTGCAACTCTTAGGATGGACTCCTTGGTGGCTACCGTTCTTGATTTGATAGTTCCAGACCTGACTACCTGGTCGTCGCCCGAAGGGACGAACAACCGGAGCCATGTCTTGTTGTACTGATCCTTGGGGTCCTGAATCCATCCTCCTTTGATTGCTGAGAATGGGATGATCCTTGGTGAGACGATCTGTCCCGAGTCAGTTAGTCGACCGCCATATTCCACCATCAAGGTCTCGGTCGGGATGAACAAGCATATGTAGTCACCCTTACGCGTATCAACGCTCTTCGTGATGGTCCATGATCTGTGATCCCATGGGACGTACGGGTTGAAGAACGTGAACATCCGATGACCTTCTCCAAGACCTCCTGGAATTAATCCTTGCCTCCAGATGCTTCGGAGGTTGGTCTTCTTGGTGATGTGGAAACAAACCGGTAATGACAAAACAGTGTTGGGTGCGATTGGATGCGAAAGCAGCGAGGACAGCAATGAAACGTCGTCTCTTGAAGATCCTTCTTTGTGCCCCGTAGGAGCACGAACCGCCACTGGATAGAGCAGTAGACCTTCATCAGGGATGTGCGTATCCGCATCGACATTGTTGTCAATGCACGTCAGGCTGCGGCGATCAATATCCTTGTTGATCCCAAATGCCAAAACTTGTTCACGCACACGACGTCCATACCTGGCACAGTGGAACATGACCTTGAAGAGCAATGTCATGCGAAAGTTCGCCTCATTGACATTCCATGCACTCTGATCATTTGCTCTTCCCTTTGGGGCAAGGAATACGTGTGGCCAGCGTGCATAATCGTGCCTCCAGATGGACTCACATTTGAGCACTTCCTCGATGGGCACCCAGCCGGCGTCATCACAGGGCAGACTCTGCTGCTCTGATACCTTCCCCACATTGTGCCGTAGGATCCTGTTCAGTGAGGCACTCACCTTGTCCTCGTAGGTGTCGAGTCGATTGCCAGTTTCGAAGCGGTAGTTGGCCGCATATTCTACGCCGCCAAAGTAGGAGCAATTGAAGAAATGGGCCCCTGTGGTTGGGATGATTTTCAAGAAACCATCTTGCGGCGCCTCGACACGTCTGTAGAAGGTCTTCCTGATGTTGTTGTCAGAGTAGCTTGCCATGAAGTCTGGCACTGACCAAGTGTCACCTCCTCCTCTGACGATGGCGTCTCGGATCACTTCGTTGAGGTCAACAACGTTCTGTGGTCCCAGCTTTGTAACATCACGCCCTTCAATGCAGAATTTGCCATACTCATCGAGGTCACCAACTTCAGACATAGTCCTGATG